TAAGGATATAGATTTTTCATTCTGAATTCAAATGTAATGATTGTATTATAAATTATTGCTATTATTTTTAATAACATTAATGTTTTCTTGTACGACATATGTGTAATAAATAAACCGGATTTCTGTTCGTAGATTCCAGTGTGCCGGTGCCATAATAATATATTCATCGGGCCGGTACAAAATAAGTAATAATAACCCACCCTGTATTGTATTATAAATATTGTAAACAGATAATTGTATAGAAATTTGATTCCCTGGGTATTACGTAACATACTGATACTAATATGCTAGTCTATGTAGAATGTCTATAATTATAATATATTAATGTATYGTAAATATACCGCTGTGCTATCAGCGGTCGACTGCCGGCGGAGAATACCTGAAAACATAGTCTTAAAATAGATTATAGTTATTATAATAATAGCCAATATGAATGCATGATACGAATTGCTTTCTAAGCTTTCTTACGATAAGCTTTGTATTCCCACGATTTTGATCGTGAGAATAAAATTGATTTAGTTTTAATACCATTATAAATTATGGAAAAAAATCAAAAGGCGGAGCTGAAAAGCTTCGTTTGAAAGAAATTATAAATTTGAAGACTGTTGCCAATGACCCAAAAAAAAAAATTCTTTTGGATCGAGTCGGCAACATATTTGTTGGTAAGTATAGAGAATTTAGTATACCTACTATATTTAATTCAATCTACTAATTCATTAATCATTAATTATTTATTTCATTATAGTATATTACATAATTTATTTTAATATTAAATTATAGATTAAAATAATATTTAATAACTTATTAGTACTTAACCTAAAATATTTAATAGGTAATCTGTAAAATAAAATGTTAACTGAATTTAATTAATTAATTAATTTTTTTTAAATATTAATAGCATGTAATTACTTTATACTATTAATTGTAATATCAATATTTAGATGATTGTGTAACGCAACAAAGTTGCCTAGTTGAAACTGTAGCAGAAAATTTTTCGGTGAGTAAAGTTTTTTAAATGATACCTTCTCATATAATATGTGGTTTTGTTACATATGATCTACCTAATTTCTATTATGTTGTTTTTATAATATTTGTCAATAGTCATCATTTTTACTACTTATTTTAATATTTAATATTTATTATGATTGTTCAGATTAATTCAACTGCTAAAAAACAAACTGAGGAAAGTAACTTATCCAGTCCAATACCGACATACCGTTACAGGAGGTTGAGGAAGATATTACATCAGATAAAATATTTTCATTTGCGATCCCCCAAAATAGCTCTATAAGTCAAAAAATGGATTTCATGAAACAACACCCTTGTCAACTGACTGTACTCCATAATGTTTCAAGGTCTCTTTCCAGACTTTATAATAGGGAGGATCAGAGAAGCAAAACCGTTTTGCGAAAATGGTTGACATTAAAATGTGAAAAAAAATAATGAGATTAAAGACTTGTATTGCAGTATATGTATTGCTTTCATTACATCATCAACCAATTTTTCTACTGGCTGCACAAATTTAAAAAATATTTATGCAACTGTAGAATCTCATGAAATTAGCAAAGTACATATTTCTGCTGTTGAAAGTTTTGTCGAAGCTACAAATAATGATAGTATTGAATACAGGCGCGGATCTAATCGGGGGCGATAGGGGCGACTGCCCCCCCCCCCCTTGGCAGTATTATTTAAATTTAATATTTTGTGTTTTCCTGTGTAAATTATTGTAAATGTATTGTAATATTATTCAGTTACAAATCGTCGTATTTTATTTTAATAATACACATTTATAAATTGTTGATAGCAATATTATGACCAATTGAGGGACGACGACGGTATCTTTATTCTGTGACGACGACCATCGACTGCCAGCTGACGCGTGACGGCTGAGTGGCACATAGGGTTTTGTCCTAAAAATATCTATAAATATTTTCCATATTATTCGACTGTCAGAAATAAATCATCTAAATAAATTACTGGTTATCTGTTCATTGGTATCCGCATAATAGCAAAATTGTTGTGGTGACTGACGACTGATAGAATTCGAATATAAAGATTAAAGATAATTTTGTTCGACACTCGACAACCGTCGATACACACGCATAATATACGCATATACCATTCGCAATTACTTTTGACGTGATATATTATTTTAATTTAGTTGGTGACTTTTGAGTTTTAGGGTTATTATTAATTAGTTTTATTTATTTATTGTACAAAAAAGAAATGTCGATATTACACAATTTTTTAAAAAGAAATATATAAATATTGTGGAAAATAATGATAAAATAACAATTGAGGAAAATATATAATGATCGAATAACATGTGTGAAAATTAATGATCCAATTGCTGTTGATCCAAGTTCTTTATCTTTAAACTGTGAGTCATCTTTACCAATATCTAAAGTAAAAATGAATTAAATATTTTTCAACCACAATCATCTGAAGTTAATTTAAATAAATCACTAGATATAGATTTTTTAAACTCAAAATCTCATATTAGTGATTTGATAAAAAAACAACTTATTGAAAATCACTGGAGACCCACAAATAGTAATGACTATTCTTTTTCTACTCACAAAAAATGTGGTCATATTGAACAAAGATTCGTAAATAAAGGGCATTTAGAAAAATATTTTTGGCTAGTCGTATCGAAATCTATGAAAGTTTTATTCTGTATTTTTTTTTCAGTTTTTAATCATACTAATACTGGCATTGGATTAAAAAATAAAATGCCCCTTAAGTGTCTTGTAACCGAACCATTAATCAAATTTGCTAAACTACTTGGAAAGGATAGTTACCTAGAATCTCATAGCAGAAATATTTACCATAAAAACGTCGTTAAGGATGATAAATCATTTTTACATATTATTAATAATCCTCAAATTAAAATTATTAATACTTTAAATACAGCTCACTGCGAACAAGTTAAAGAAAATAGCCCTTGGTTGAAACCAATAATTGTCACATTAATATTTCTTGATAAACATAAAATACCTAATCGAGGAAATCGTGATGATGTTAGACTATTTGACGATACTCAAAATCCCTCAGAAAATAACGGAAATTATTAAATTTCAGAATTTCATCTGGTGATGAGATTTAAAAAAACATCTTTTAACTCCTTAGTCTAGAGCGACTTACATTAGTAAAACGACACAGAATGAACTTATTTCTATTATGGGAAATTTAATATTAAAAAATGTGTTGGAAAGAGTAAAACAATTAAAGTTTTACAGTGTTATCTTCAACGAAACTACTGATATATCAAAAATATCTCAGTTAGTCACTGTTATTCGATATGTATATAAAAACGAAGTATACGAAGATTTTGTCGGGTTTTTCATCAAGAAAACTATAAAAAATACTGTAGGGGAAGTAGAACCTAAAATTACTGGTGAAATTATAGGAAATTCAGTTTTAAGTATTTTAGATAAACTTGATTTACCATTTGAAAAGTGCGTTGGAATTACAACAGATGGATGCTCTGTTATGCTATCCAAAAAATGTGGAGCAGTTAAAACACTTGCAAAAATGAAAAATGCAATCAAATACACTTGTTTTAGTCATGCCTTAAATATGTCGATTATGAAAGGATGCAAAATAAAATTCGTAAGAAATGCTTTCGGAATAATGACGGAAATTATAATTTTTKTTAACACATCAGCAAAAAAAAGTTATATTTAAAAAAATACTTTAAAATCATCACTGCATTAATTATGTGAAACAAGATGGGTGGAAAAACATGATTGTGTTTTACAATTTATCACGGGGTTAAGTTCTATATTCGAGGCATTAAACAAAATATCAGATTGGGATGATATAAACACTGCAACTAAAGCAACTTATTTATCTAAATCATCATCGTCTGGTGAATTTATTTTGACATTAATAACTGTTTCAAAAATGTTAGCTATAACAATTCCAATCAGTAAATTATTGCAGTCCAAAAGTCGAGATAAATTTTCCGCTATAATATTAATTAAAAATGTAATTTGTATTTTGAAAAATAAACGAGAAAATAGTTATAACTGTTTTAACAAAATATTTAAAACCGCAGAAAGTCAGGTAATTAACTTGAGAATTTCAGGAGGGATAAACAAGCCAAGATTATCGAAAGTAATGAAAAACAGGGAAAATCCTCAAACTAAATAATATGCTGAAGAATATTTTAGAGTAACGCTCTTTATTCCTTTCCTCGATAATTTACTAAATTATTTGGAATCTAGATTCGACGAAGATTTAATGTCAGTTTATGATCTAGACGTGGTGCTGCCCAACATAATTAAAATAAAATCTATTTTTGATGACAAATGTAGATTAAACAATAAAATAAAAAACGTAATTAATCAATTCGGTGACTTAGTAGTTTGTGAAATAAATATACCTAGAGATATTTTAGAATCTACGTTGATGGGTAAATTTGAAGTTTGGCATAATAATTGGTTGCAAGACGAACAATTACCTTCATCACATTTAGAAGCTCTCAAACGGTGTGACCCGTACTGTTTTTCTGGAATTTATGTATTATTAAAAATACTTATCACGTTACCAGCTACAGGTGCGACAGCTGAACGGAATTTTTCATCATTACAACGAATCAAAACATGGATGAGGTCGAGAATATCAGAGGTACGACTAAATGGACTGGCATTATTACACGATCATCGAGATGTCGAGATAAACCATGATGATGTCATTGACATATTTACTCAATCAGCAAACAGAATATTGGAGTTTGTTATAAGATTTACAACTACCTACTATGATAATATATTTTAATATATATTTATTTAATACATTCAATTCAGCTTAAGAAAAAAATATTCATTATAATAAATAAGCAATTGTTGCATATTTATAATATTATAAAATATAAATATATACTCRAATTTACCGGTAGGTAAATAGTTAATATATTTAGATATTTATAATCCAACCCTCCCGTTAATATAGACTGGATCCGCATCTGATTGAATATTTGATCAAACGTAATGTGATGAATATGAAAAAAAAAACAATTCGAAGAAATAATTCATGTGAATTTATGTGAATCATTTGACGGTGCTTCTAACATGAGAGGAGAGTTTAACGGTTTGCAGTCTTTTATTAAGCAACAAAATGAAAACAGTATTTATGTTTGGTGCTATGCACATAAGGTATTTGTGATACCTGTGACAATTTAGCAGCTAAAAATTTATTTGGGTTCTTTAATCGCTTGAGCACTTTCTTTTCTGATTTTTATAAACGAATAGACATTTGGAAGAAAAATCAAGAAACTTTAGGTATTTTGAAAGCTCCAAAAATTGGGGAAACTAGGTGGTGATCCAGAGAAAAAGCTCTTAAATGGGGTTTGGGCGGAGAAGATTGTTTATACTAAACTATTGTTAGTGCCTTAGATTTTATTTGTTCATCGAAAAACTTTGATCAAAAATCCATAATATAAGTATATGAAGCAACTTCATTAAAAAATAAATTGTGTGAATTCCAAGTTATTTGAACAGCTCATTTATTTCTTAAAGTTTTTGATTCTGCTGGACATACATCAGCATATTTTCAGTTTAGTAATTTAGATCTTTTGACTGGTTGGTTAATGGTAGAAAATACAATTGATGAAATTGAAAAAATAAATTTTGATAAAATTGTCATTGAAGTAGGGAAATTCTTAAAAAATATGAATGATAAATTTACAGATTTTGAATAGAATGATAGTATAGTTGTGGAAGATGATTACCATTAATGCGTTCTAGACAAGAGAAGCCCAATTAYGATGAAATTTTTTCAGATGAACCTATTATAAATCCTATCGATAAGTTTAGTAAACAAGTTTTTCGATGCATTGATTTATTAAGAAGCAGTTTTATTGAAAGATTTACAAGTTATAAGGAAATTATAGCTGATATTCAGTATTTATTACCAAAGAATTTTCAACACGCAAAGAATGACAATCTACCAGAATCAGCATTAAAAATACTATCAAAATTATCATTAATAAACCATCAGAAATTAGTTTCTGAATTGAACCAATTTTCAAAAATATATGATATTATTACAAAGCCCCTGAATTCAAATACTTAAAATATGTATAATAATGATGAAGATTTTTCTCTGGATTGGGATAAAATGGATTCAGAAGTTATAAATAAAAATATGATAAAATATGTTGTTTTTATACTTAGTTATATTATATGTTAAGTGACAAATATTTATATCTTTTTTATAGGGCGTGGGAAATCAAAAACTACCAATAATAATTATGATACAAAATTGTTGAAGTACACCAGATACACTGAAGCTAAAGGCAAATAATAATAAGATCGGATATATGTAAAAATATAATAATATGTATAATTGATACGAATAACTATAGTGCTCCGAGGCGTAATATAAAACAACGACTAATCGTCCTATAGGCTACTACATAGAACGAATATGCTAGTAATACAAAATGCCTATTCAGCGTCTACTGTACTACAGTGTGAATAATTTTACTTATAATTTACATACTATAGGGTGTGTTGTTTACATTCAACAACCATTACCTAATCATTATTAATATTATTACTTATTATTATATTTTATACATTCATAGAATTACAGAGATAACTTAGCCCGTCGGTGTAAATAATTTAAACCCGTATAGGTAATAGAGTGGTTCATGGTTCATCGTATTTACTTTTAATTAAATAAATACCTGGGACACAGATTCATTTCAAATTTTAAATAAACCACCCAATAAATGCGGGCTGTAATAGAATAGGTAGTGGAGTAGTGGACATAAAGTCATAAACAAAATATAGTCTGTTGAGTCTCGTAGGTATGTCTCGAGTCTGTCCCTTGTTGTCGAAAATTATTTTTCACATTCTAGCTTTCATAGTTTCATACTGCTTTCTTTGAAACTTGAAAGAATTGTGTTTTGAAATGTTTGGATAAATTATCATGGTTTTATTATAATGATAGTTAAAGTATGAATGTTGAAAAGCTTAATTTTTGATTGCATTATTTTACTTTTGATATTAATATGATATACCAAATGGCAAATACACCTCACTAGGACTAGGTATAAGGTAACTACTGTCTACTAAAATGGTAAAGTACAATAAAATAGTTTGATTAAATATTGTATTCTTACTATTAATTGAATAATATTTTATACAATATATTTATATATTGTGTAACCAAGTACCTTATTATATTCTAATAAATAATATTTGGCATGGTTGTAGATCATTTACGTTAACAAATACATAACAATTATTATATTATTTTATTGGATTTCATCATTGATTAAAGTATAATATACAAATATAAGTAAGTACCTACAGTAAATAACTTTATTACATACATTTATTTAAAATATTTAAGACATTTAATGAATTATTTTGTTACTTGTTAGCTTAAAAAAAGTAGGCAGTATAATTATTAATTTTATACTAAAAAAAGTAACTTATTTTTAACTAAGTTAAGTTACTTTTATTTTCTAATTAACTTGTTTGCAAGTTAAAAAAAATAGAGGTAACTTTTAACATTAAACTTATATAACTTACTTTTTTCTATATTAAMTTAATTCAACGAGTTTAAAAAAAAAGTTAACTTGCCCAGCCTTGGTAATTTGTATACTGCATTAGAATTTGTTTTAACACTCTCTGTTACACATATTAACTGTGAAAGAGCATTWAACAAGCTTAAAATAATTAAAAACTGTTTACGGTCTTCTTTAAATCAAGACCATCTTGAAGCATTCATGTAATGTCTGTAGTAAAAGATAATGTATTGGATGCA